GGGACGCCGTCCGGCCATACTGCCATATGCTACTGATTTAAATGGGACCCAAGAATGGCTGCACATGAATGCCCCGAGGATGTTGATCGAAGGGCGCCCAAACAAAGCAAGCTTCATATGCCCAGTGGTTGTGATGCGTGCAGCCGAAACACACGCAGTGGGAGTACGGATGGTTCTCTTCCAAAGCTAGAGGGTTTGGCTTCCCAGATTGAGACATCTCCACATCAGGCGTCATAAGTTTGACTTCTGCAAGAGGCCATTATATTCCCTAAGAGGGACGCTTGCATGCGTTTGCAGTCTTCAGCACTGTGGAATGGGGATAAAGCTCACCCAGCGTGTCTGGCCAGTTGCTTTGTTGCTGGTGTGCTGATTGCTTGACTTATTGTCTGGGATCAACTGAATCTAACGAGGTTCTGGTGTGCTTCGGACACAATATATCCATAGGGATCACAATATTTCAATCTTTCTCTAACGGATTGAGGACCGTTTGGAGGAGTCCATCGGCCTTCGGCTTTTGACAAGAGGCTTGCAGCGAAAACATTCTTAGCGCGGACCATGCCGGCCCGCGGCACTGGACCGAACGGTCGCTGCAATATCCACAGTTGGTCCAGCTTGAAAGTGTTGCCCCGGTTTGCCTTCTATTGGTTAGTTGTTTCTTTCTACCACTGTATAGACATTGCAATGTCATTTTCAGACACCATCTAGTTAGCCGGCACCAAAAGCGCTGCAATCCCTCTGAGGTCGGTCCCTTTGTGACACAATTGCTCCATTGTCCAGCTGCTTCAAGCTGTGGTCCCTTTCAAAAGCGCCAATACCATGCCGTTTTTGGCTTTCTGCGTTTCCAAGGCAAACATTCTTGGCATGAATGTTTGAGCCATGGGAGTTTCTCGGGCGCTAGCAGCGCTTTCGGCGCCGGCAGGGTCCAGTGCCAATCGTTGCCATCGGGGGAGTCAAGCCCTCGGCATGGCAATTCGCCTGGGATTCGGATATTGTCAACCCGCGCAAGCTTTTTGCACCGAGACAGTGTCGTCATGTCATCTTCGCTTAAATGTGACGTCGTCGTCATGTCATCTTCGTCATGTCATCAGCGTCGTCATGTCGTCACGTCATGTCATTTTTGCCTTGACAGCGACCTGTATGTCTGCGGTGAGCAGACGCCCCTTGTTTTGTGCGCATGGTGGCTTTTGAGGGGCGTCTGTTACCAACAAGCGAATGCAAAATCGCGGGATTCAACGCACCAATGAATCAAGTCATATCAAGTCCTGTAGATTTCCTCTTTTAATTTCCTCGGCATGCTAGCGTTGCAAGTGAATCAGATGTTTGTTTGCTCTGATGCAGTATGTGTTTCAGGGTGCCTGCAGTCAGCAGAGATGTACAGAATAACTACGTCGCAGCGGAATGTGCCCAGCACGAGAATAAACAGAACCTACCAGGAAAAAGCTTGCTGGCTCTCAGGGAGCCTATGTTTTTGGGAAGCCTGGGGATTGCCCTTGAGAAACCAGTTGGATGCTTCAGATTGCGGTCCACAAGTTGGATTTCTCTCATTGGCACCAAACTTCTCCCAAGGTGGATCTCGAATCTGCCGCGGCTTGCGTCCGGCACGGTGCCGACGGCGTGGCGGTGGCACCTCGGAAGCAGCTCTCGCGTCCGGATGGAAAGCCCTGGCTTGCAGTTGACATATGGCTCGTCTTGTGTCAGGGGGTTTCCCTTTGAACTGGAGAAACGGGGTACCCTCCAAAAAAAGCCACCATGATTTCCGGGGAGTCTTTTTTTGAGAGCACGTGAATGAAGTTCAAGTGGCCAAGGCATTCTGAACAAACACCTGGTTGATGTCTCTTCACCTTCCCCAATGCTCCATAGGGCTCTACGCGCTGGGCCAATTTGTTGCTTTCGATTTCACCTATTTGTTTCGTGATGGGGGGTTTGCTTCAGGTTGCTCCTCTCAGATGCAGCTTGTGCAGAGCTAATTTGAACCGCATGCCCTGTTTCACCGTAGGGTTGAGGGAACCGTCCGTTGAACATGGCCTTGTGTCCAATGATTGTGTGCTACGGGAAGGATGGCCATTCCTACCAGATCTTAGCCCAGACTGGAATAGGCTCTTATTCGCCATCAGCCATACTTCCACGGCTCATTTCAAGCACTACTTGCTTTGCAACAACAACCCGGCGATGGTCTGCAATACAATATGGCATCAGCCTGCTAACCCATTCTCACAGTGATCCCCCTCCCCGAGCAATGTAATTGGGCAGGTGCTTTGGTAGTTTATTTGCTTGGGACTCGCGCATTGTGGCAGTCGCCCTGAACCCAATCAAGCCTGGGTGGAACTCTACTTCTGTGAATTCTACACATTGCAGGGCATTCTGGTTGACAATTTTCAGAACCAATCACTGGCAAGTTCATTACACATAGAGATGCCGCTTTCAGCTGAACTCGCCGCATTTCACGGCTAGGTTCGTGCCTTGCTGGGCGAAGAGTTGGGCCAAGTTGAGGCCAAAGCACAGGCAGGGGAGGAGACCAAATATCCAAGCCGAGTCTCAAGTGGGCGTGTCCTTTTTTGCGGGTACCTTTTTCTGGTGGTTTTAAAGGGAAACCAATGGAACATCACCATGTGGGGGTCCAATCCAAAAAAAGATGCACCCGAGTCTACCAAGTGGGAGGCATTTGACTTGGGAGATGTCTCCCTTTGATGGGCGTTGTTTTCTGGCTTCGAACGGAAACACTTCTGAAGCTGAGGCAAGATAGCTTGCAGGTGCAACGGACTCTACTGCAGGGCACTTCTTTACTTCAGCGCTGGTCGTCAGTTTCTGCATTTGGGGCCTTGTGTGAAGAGTGGAAGATGTCAAAGGAGTGAATTGTGGGTGACAGTCTCTACAGGACTAAGTGAGCAATTTGACGAAGAATCACCTTCATCCACCTTGTGAAAGGCACCTTTTGGGCATCCTGCTGCTGAATCATATTCAGCATCAGGCAAACACTGGCTGGCTTCCGATTTTTCAGCACTTCGAAACAAGACCTGTGCAAGAGGGTGCACATGCTTTGCGGACAGTCGGGGTACTTAGAGACTGTGCACAAGGTAGGCGGTTTCAACTGTCCAGGGTCCAAGTGATCCGCTTCCCGAACCCTTGCGAGTCAGGCGCTCCTGCAGGAGGTCCGCGCCGCGTGACAGGTGAAAAGGGCCGTGCGCGCAGCTCGAGCTGCGGGGCGTGGGCTCAGGGTTGGGCCGGGTGACATGTGGGCCATGGGCGGCGTCGCATTTGGGCCATGGTGCGGACGAAGGGCAGAAGGGCCTGGTCCAACCCTTTGCGCAGGTGCGCGGATGAGATCGGCACGGTGAGCCCGCGCCAATTCAAAACCATGGAGATCGGATGGGCATGCAATGGAATTTGGGTTGGGGGTGGGCAAGATGTTGGATTGCGAAAACTGAAAGATCCGTTCTGAGGGCCTTTGGGGGCCCGAGCTTTGGGGGCCGTCCGTCCTGAGATCGCCAGGCTGCTGTGACACTGGAGCAGAAAGCTCCGAATGAAGCGGAGGCGGCAGTTGGGAGAGAGAGTCGAGCCAAGAGAAATCCGAGCCACCCACCTTCTCCTTTGGCAGAGGCCAGGGATAGGGGCATGGCGTCAGCTTTGGGTCCAAGCATGCAGTCCTGTGATTTCTTTGAATAGTGATTTAGTTCCCAGTCACTCTGATGCGTGGGCTGCGGAGATCAACCATGAGCCACAGGTTCTCGAATGCCCGGCATGTGAAACCAACACTTGCAGGCACAGAACAACATTCATCCACTTGACCAGGTGCGGCACTCATAAGCCATTGCCAATACCCTTTGCTGGTTTTGATTCTCGTAGCTTTGGACAACAGGTAGAAAGCCTGCCTGTGAACACGCCTGTGCGACACTGCACTGATGGTAGATCCTCTCACAGTGTTTGCTCGCGTGTGGCAAAAGTGCTTTGTGGAGCAATACATCACCAGGTCCCACTAATCTAAGGTCAGGACTTTGTGGTCATGTTGGGTCCAGCCAATCGCACAGTCTCCAAATGCGGCCCGCGATTCCTCGGGGGACTCGGTGGAGGCAAAGCAGGACCGGGACGGAGAGATGGTGTGGTTTGTTGGGATTCGGAGGGTGGCCTTTTGGACGCGTGTCAGCGCCCAAAATTCCGCTACTTGCTCCTTTAGGGGTTGTTGGAAGCGGGAATCCCAGTATAAATCTTCATAATATTGGCGAAGCCAAAAGTCGATGAATTGTGGTCGCTCTCAAATGCAGAACCCCGGGTTGCACTGCTGGATGGTGTAAAAGGACAAGGCAAAGGCAGGCGCACGCTCGCACACACACACACACATGTCCTAATCCGCCGGCTGTAACACGCCCATTTCCTAGGATCCTTCGATTGTCGGCAAATCAAAAACTCATGCCATGTTGTTTGCCTATTTTCGAAGAATGGGTGCAGCGGCTAGGGACTAGGCGGACAATTACATGGACCCTGGGAGAATCTCCAGGCATTGAGCCAGGGACCCTTGCCAGGAGCAGAGGTTGGCGTCTCTCCTGCAGCTGGGGGCCCGAAGTCGCGGCAAAAACCATCAAATGCGCTTGATCACAAGTCAAGCAGTTAGTTTTGCATTGCCCCCTTGCACGACTTCGCAGGGGAAACTGTGGATGTGCTAGAATGTGACCAAACGTAGAACTTGAGATGTTGGCTGTGGATTTGTGCCTCTCAATGTTTATCGGGTAGTGTTCGGGCATGGGTTTTCCGATCGACAGGTTTTCGGATAGTTGCGCAAAAACGAGAACGCTGAGCTGAAAGCAGAACCTGCAGAACGAAGGCTTGCGGAAACATGATTGACTTGATGGAATACCGGCTCAAGGCCGTGCAGCATGTGAAATTCGCCATCCTGAAGCAGACGTATCTCACCAACACGATGTCCTCAGTGCCCGCAAGCATGCTGGTCAGACCGTGGATTTCACTGGGTCAAACAGATATTCAGCTCATCTCAGATTTTGCTACGCCCTCAACCGAGCTACGCGAGGGCTTTGCACCAAAGCCCATGCTCCGGCCCAGCCTGGCGGCTGCTGTGCAGCGCTCCAGCACAGTTCCCAGCCGCCCCAACGACGGGGGCTCTGGCCGGGTCTACAGCAGCGCGCCGCACGCGGCGCCACACGTGGCGCCACGCGCGGCACAGCAGGCGCAGCAGGCGCAGCAGGCGCAGCAGGCGCAGCAGGCGCAGCATGCTGTGGGCTTTGGCTACCCTGCAGGCGCCAAGGCCGGATGGTTCGACGAGGAGACTCGGACCCGTGACAGCCATTTGCTGGCCTAACCCTTTGATCCAAGAGTCTGGGAGTCAGGGCCTCAAGCACCAAAGCCATTGCACATGTGCAGTTGGTGGTGATAGGATTTTATTCGCGTTTATTTGCCCGCCCCTGCCAGCCAATTTTTGGGATTTCCTGAAGTTTCATCCGGAAGCACCACGCTTGGTCTCGGATACCAAGTGAGTTTGGCGGCTTCAACCATGCGCAGCAAGTCGCGCACCAAGCTTGGGGTAGTCTGACTCACTCCCGAAAGGCTCACTCGTTTGCCGCTTGGATCCGCCTTTTCGGAGGCGATGGCTTCCAATCCGACGGGCTTGGAGGACAAGGAGGAAAAGGAGAAGCTGCGAAGGGACCTGCGCCGGTCGGAGGAGAAGGCGAACTTCTTCCGAAATCAGGCGCGGTCGGCTGGAACATACCATCAGGTGTGGGTCAAAAATAGGCTTCCTAAATGGCACCCTGGGAAAAGGACACATTGACTAAAACCTGCGGTCCTCTGGTGCTTTTGACCCATACCCAGGTGTATTGATCTGCTCTGTATCACACTAGTTGGGTGTGGAATGTGGCATGCTATGTATATATAAAGTATCATACATTGTAGTACGTGAAGATATAGTACAATGTACCATTGAATCACACTACAATGCAATCTAACATAAACATTCTAGTTTATGGTTCAGTACAACATAGTCCAAACAATCAACACAATGCTATAATATGATAATGCATGGTATGGAATAGTCTAACTCAATGTAGTCAATGTAGTGTGTAATAGCTATTGTCATGTAGTATGTTATTATAGTCCGTTATACCACAATACGATATGATATCATATGCTATGACATAGCATGGTACAACAACTGTGTGATAATTATCACATATTTGATACTATGATATGTGTATATGTGTATATATATAATATATATATATTTAAGGGCTGCCGCCCAGTGCCGCCGCCCCAGCGGGGTTACTGTCCTGTATGTTGGCCTTTGAGGTAGACCCCGGGGTCTGTGGATGCTTTGGCCGGCTTTGGTAGGCTCTTGTTTCCTTTTTGGGCAGCGTTCCTTTGCCTTTTTTTGGACTTTCCGGTATGTCGGCCTCTGAGGCAGACTGCGGGGTCTGCGGACATTCGGGCTGCCTTTTGGTATTGGTTCTTTTTTTTGTTGGGGGACTTGCCTGTATACTGGTATCTTGTTTTTCTCTCTTTTTTTCGACGTTCCTGCATGTTGGTGTTTGAGGTAGATCCCGGGGTCTGCGGACACTCGGGCTGCCCTTGGTAGTGTTTCTTTTGTGTTTTTGGGGGACCGTCTGTATGTCTGTGTGTGAGGTAGACCCCGAACTCTGCGGATACTCGGGCCACTGCTGGCTTCTTTGTTTTTGTGTTCGGGGGGACTGTCTTGCATGTTGGATTGTGAGGTAGCCCTTGGGGTCTGCGGATACTCGCTTTTGTGTTTTTGGGGGACCGTCTGTATGTCGGTGTGCGAGGTAGACCCCGAACTCTGCGGATACTCAGGCCACTGCTGGCTTCTTGGTTTTTGTGTTCGGGGGGACCTCACAAGCCACTACCAACAGCAGCCCGAGAATCCGCAGACCCCGGGGTCTGTATGTATGTATGTATGTATGTATGTATGGTTGTATGTATGTATGTATGTATGTATGTATGTATGTATGTATGTATGTATGTATGTAATGTATGTATGCATGCATGTATGTATGTATGTATGTATGTATGTATGTATGTATGTATGTATGTATGTATGTATGTATGTATGTATGTATGTATGTATGTATGTATGTATGTATGTATGTATGTATGTATGTATGTATGTATGTATGTATGTATGTATGTATGTATGTATGTATGTATGTATGTATGTATGTATGTATGTATGTATGTATGTATGTATGTATGTATGTATGTATGTATGTATGTATGTATGTATGTATGTATGTATGTATGTATGTATGTATGTATGTATGTATGTATGTATGTATGTATGTATGTATGTATGTATGTATGTATGTATGTATGTATGTATGTATGTATGTATGTATGTATGTATGTATGTATGTATGTAATGTATGTATGTATGTATGTATGTAATGTATGTATGTATGTAATGTAATGTAATGTAATGTAATGTAATGTAATGTAATGTAATGTAATGTAATGTAATGTAATGTATGTAATGTAATGTAATGTAATGTAATGTATGTATGTATGTATGTATGTATGTATGTATGTATGTATGTATGTATGTATGTATGTAATGTATGTATGTATGTATGTATGTATGTATGTATGTATGTATGTATGTATGTATGTATGTATGTATGTATGTATGTATGTATGTATGTATGTATGTATGTATGTATGTATGTATGTATGTATGTATGTATGTATGTATGTATGTATGTATGTATGTATGTATGTATGTATGTATGTATGTATGTATGTATGTATGTATGTATGTAATGTATGTATGTATGTATGTATGTATGTATGTATGTATGTATGTATGTATGTATGTATGTATGTATGTATGTATGTATGTCTGTATGTATGTATGTATGTATGTATGTATGTATGTATGTATGTATGTATGTATGTATGTATGTATGTATGTATGTATGTATGTATGTATGTATGTATGTATGTATGTATGTATGTAATGTATGTATGTATGTATGTATGTATGTATGTATGTATGTATGTATGTATGTATGTATGTATGTATGTATGTATGTATGTATGTATGTATGTATGTATGTATGTATGTATGTATGTATGTATGTATGTATGTATGTATGTATGTATGTATGTATGTATGTATGTATGTATGTATGTATGTATGTATGTATGTATGTATGTATGTATGTATGTATGTATGTAATGTATGTATGTATGTATGTATGTATGTATGTATGTATGTAATGTATGTATGTATGTATGTATGTATGTATGTATGTATGTATGTATGTATGTATGTATGTATGTAATGTAATGTATGTAATGTAATGTAATGTAATGTAATGTATGTATGTATGTATGTATGTATGTATGTATGTATGTATGTATGTATGTATGTATGTATGTATGTATGTATGTATGTATGTATGTATGTATGTATGTATGTATGTATGTATGTATGTATGTATGTATGTATGTATGTAATGTATGTATGTATGTATGTATGTATGTATGTATGTATGTAATGTATGTACGTACGCACGTACGTTCGTACGCATGCAGTGTATTTACTGCATGTATGTAATGTATGCATGTCTGTAATGTATGTATGTATGTACGTATGTATGTATGTATGTAAGTAATGTAATGTAAAATATTGCAATGTAATGTAATGTTATGCAATTATGTATGTATGTATGTATGCATTGTAATGTATGTATGTATGTCTGTAGGTAGGTATGTATGTATGCAATGTATGTATGTATGTACGTATGTATGTATGTATGTATGTATGTAAATGCATGTATGTATGTAAATGCATGTATGTATGTAAATGCATGTATGTATGTATGTATGTCTGTATGTATGTAGGTATGTAATGTACGTATGTATGTATGTATGTATGTACGTATTGTTGTGTGTATGTATGTATGTGTGTGTATGCATGTAATGTACCTCATATATGCATGTATGTATGTATGTATGTATGTATGTAATGTATGTAATGTAATGTAATGTAATGCAATGTAATGTAATGGTATGTAATGGTATGCAATTGTATGTAATGGTATGTAATGGTATGTAATGGTATGTACGTATGTATGTATGTAATGTAATGTAATGTAATGCAATGTAATGTAATGTAATGTAATGTAATGTAATGTAATGTAATGTAATGTATGTATGTATGTATGTATGTATGTATGTATGTATGTATGATGATGATGTGGAGGATGCCGATGGCAATGATGACAGCGGTGATGATGATGATGACGATGATGATGGTGATGACCAAGAGGAAGATGATGAAAAGTATCATCGTAGCATCCGTTGCATCTCCAACAAGTGACAAGTATTATCGCAGCATCTCCTGCATCTCCAACAGTGGATGATGATGACGATGATGATGATGACAACGGTGATGATGACGAGGATGGCTATGAGGAAGATGATAGTGACTGTCTAGCAGTGCCTGCATAACTATCATCGTAGTATCCGTTGCATTGCACGTGGTGTCTAACGTCGATGATGATGATGAGGAAGATGATGAAAAGTATCATCGTAGCATCCGCTGCATCTTCAACGATAACAAAAACAAGTGATGATGACGAGGAATCTCAAATCGCATGATAATCATCACTATGCATCCTCAGCATCACCAGCAATCATGATGATCATGAAAATCGGGTGATGATACTTATCACTATGCATCCTTAGCATCACCAGCAGTTATGATGATAATCATGAACACGCATCTTCTGGGAGGAGGATGATGATAGCGGTGATGATGATGATGATGACTATGAGGAAGATGATAAAAGTATTATCCTAGCATCCGCTGCATCTCCAACGAAGACGATGACAAGTATTGTCGTAGCATCCCCTGCACAACGGTGGATGACGAGGATGACTATGATGATCATTCGCGTCATCACAAGTATCATCGCAACATCTTCTGCATCTCTAGCAGTGCCTCGATAACTATCATCGTAGCATCCGTTGCATTGCAAGTGGGGTCTAACGTTACTTTTGATTTCTATACAAGAAGTAAGAAAGGATGATGATGAGGATGATGACTATGAGGAAGACGATGAAAAGTATCATCGTAGTCCGCTGCATCTCCAACGACGACGATAGTGGATGATGATGACGATATCTTTTGCATCTCAAATCGAGCGATGACAGTTATCACCACGCATCCCCAGCATCTCTTGCAGGCATGAGGATGTGGTGATAGCGGTGATGATCAGGATGATGACTATGAGGAAGATGATCCAACGATGACGATGATAAGTATCATCGGAGCATCCCCTGCATCTCCAACAGTTGATGATGACGATGATGATGATGACAACGGTGATGATGATGACGATGATAATGATGATGATGACAATGGGAAGATGATGAAAAGTATCATCGTAGCATCCAACGATGATGATGACAAGCATCATGTAGCATCCCCTGCATCTCCAACAGTGGATGATGATGACGATGATGATGATGACAACGGTGATGATGAATGAGGAAGATGATGGCGATCATCCGCGTCATCGCAACTATCATCGCGACATCCAGCGGTGCCTTGACCACTATCATCGTAGCATCCCTTGAATCGCCAATGGAGCCGAGCGTGATGATTATTATGATGATGACGATAACGATGACGATAACGATGATGAGGAGGATGACGACGATGTTGATGATGATGACACCCTTCCCATGCGCCTCGCCCTTGCAGACAAGGGGTCGGCGGATATATATGCACACCATTTAATGCACACTATATCACGGTAACTAGATTCAGATGATACACACTAGAACCATATTTGGCATGTACAGTATATAATATACAATACAACACAGGCAATATACACCATACACTGCACAATGGATGCTACAAGGCCTACAATATTACTTCTTACCATATGATACAAAGTATGTAGTATAGAACAACGTGTATATATATATATATACACATGATGTAGCGCATACTATATAGTGTTGAACACATGCTATACACCATTTCGCATATAATATACTACCTACAGCATGAACTACCTCTAGACCATAGTATAATACACAGCATGCAACATGCGACATTTTGAATATTGTAATACCTACATATATAGGATTCAATGTACTATCATAATTCAACATGAACACTGATGATATTTTTGTGTGGCTGTGTGAAACGTGTCTGTGGACCAATTTGCAAACCTCATTTTGATTGGCCTGGATCGAATCTCTGGTTGTGTTACTGTAAATCAATACTGTATTTAAAACTAGTCAATGCGATTTGCGAGCCACGTGTGCAATGACTGAAACCCCTGAAGGTGTCCAAGGGGGACGAGTTGCGCTCACCGGCCAACAGGACAAACTTTTGTCCTGGTGATGTATAAAGTATGTAGTCGTTGATATATGCTGTGTTTATGCATCATACTGCATACCAATACACAACAATACAAATTAGTAAGCATGAATTCTTCACACTACTAATGGTGATAGTAAACACACATACTAGTAGTTGATACGGTTTTCAATAAGTTAGCCATACTCAACTATACATTGATATACAGAAAAATCAACAACATACATAACGTGAATATGCTGTTTGTTCGGTAATTCGCGTATGCGAGCCTGGGGTATGCAGGCAGCTTCACGTTGGACCGAGACGGGTTTCCTGAGGTGATCACTCTGCAGCAGCAGGTGTCCTCCATGAGCTGCCCCATCATGGCTGCACAGGAGCAAGGGTTGGGCAGGAAAGCATGTTGAGACCTGCTGGCCAGAGTTGATGGCAAAACAGGCTTTACTTGTTGTGTTGCCGACAATCTATGCTGATCTCAAGGTGTTGATCCGAAGAAGCAGTTTGTGCTTACACCATGACTCAACCGGGGAAGAAACGGAGGCTTTTGTTGGAGGAAAACGGCACAGTTGTCTGACCAGCTAGGCTGCGGATTGTGCTGCTTTTCTCCGGTACACGGCTTTCACGTGAAGCAAGCTGCACTGATGCCACAAAAGACAGACAGGAACGCCTATATAGGCAAAACCAACCCGACGTCTGACGAGTACCTCATAAGTTTGTGACGGCGCTTCAGGCGAAGCATAATTCCAGTGAAAGTCCTGGCCCAGCTCGAACTGGCAAATGGCCAACCACATAGCCCATGTTTAACAACCTTCCCACATAAATAATGTGTATGAATACATATATGCATATGTCTATGTATTTTCACAGAATACAAGATGTATGTGCATATGAACATGCGCGCGCACACACACGCACACACACACGCGCCCAGAAGACGGTAATGCACCACAATAAGAACCGTTTTGAGATGTTTTGAGGCGAGGACAACACACATTTCAAGCTTTGGCCAAAGTATGACCTTCTGGCCATTCTTTGAAGACTTTGCAAGCTGGCTTCTTGGCCAGGATTCTGGCAGTGGCTTACAGCGGCTCGTGTCGCGCAGCTTCCCGTCCTTCCACACAACTTTCCGCACATCCGAAGAAGCTTCTCGCAAGTCGGGCAGAAGTTTGCGTAGAGGATACTTTTAGGAAATCCTGCCACAAGCTATATATTTGCTAGGTTCTTTTTGCACCTGCTTTCCGATTCTAGCAGGTTTTCTTGCTTCCGGCAAATGCGTGTTTTTCCGGCCAAACCGTCAGTTTCAACTAGGGGTAGCTGGGGAGAGATAGACACATTTTCCATCATCATTTGCACCGCCGCCCCACCGCCCCCGATAGCCCGGGCACATGGCCACACGTTGCAGGAGGCCTCAGCGCTGCCAGAGGAGCTGGCGAAGCTGCGGCAAGGCTTGGCGGAGGAGCCGAAAGACTTGGCGCGATGTGGATCCCTTTGAGTTCTGTCGGTTTCCTTCCCTCGTCAAAAAGGGCACCTTTAGCCTCGAGCAGGAATGCCCATTTAGGGTTGGTGGAACCTGCTGGAACCTAGTGGGTAAGGGAGGGACGTTTGGAGCTAGGTCGCCGCTACCTGAGCACCCCTTCTGAGAAGTCTCGAGAAGAACAGCCTTGACTAGGATGTCGGGGAAGGGGAGGTAACCAAGGGAACACGAAAGACAAAACACAGAATGCCTTACCTCATATTCATTGCGGAAGGTGGCCATGAGCTTGGGCAAGCGCAAAAGGTTTTGGTTTCAGTTTGTGAGTTCTAGTTACCCAGATCAGAAATCTCAAGTTCCCAGGCAGATTTGCCCTGAGGAAAGTCTGTTGAACCCTCCGTTACATTGTCCAAAGCAACCTCGTAGATCAAGGTCACCCGGTCACCCTGTGGGCACCCAATGTGACCACTGCAAGTATGTTGGCGTCCTAGCCCCCGTGTCGTCCATGATCAATCAAGTTCATGCCTCGCCCCGGCCCGCGAAGATTGGCGTGGAAGTTCAAGGGGGCACAGATGTTTTCCGTGAATGCGTCTACGAGGCTGTTACAAGTTACGAGCGGACAGAAGTAGGCCTGGCATGGCTGCTTGGGCGTGCCCATGTGCATAGCCCACAGAATGGCTGACTCGGCCCAGCGAACCGGAGCCGGAGTGCAAGCGATGGTCCTGCAAAGAAGGCCGAGGGCATTCAGTCTGAACAATGAAACCACGGCAAAGTCAGCCGGCAGACCTGAAGTTGGGAAAAACATGAACAACAAAAACATCAGCACTTTTGGCTCTGAAGCCCAAAAGGCTGGCTGGGCATGACTGGCCCGAAATGTCCCTTTGGGCTCCGAGGAGCGGCAGCTGCGGGTGGAGCTCCAGCAACGTTTGCGCCAATCCGAGGATGGCGAGGCGGCCAAGGAGGGCGAGCTGCAGGCCGGGCCCTCACCGGTGGCCAATTGCCTCTTGGGGGTCTGACTGTTTCCTTTTTTGAGGCTACCTGCTTTTTGGTTTAGAAAGACTGAAAGGAACATCGCTAATGAATTCGGGCTACCCCAAAAAAAGACGCACCCATATCCATGATTACAACCAACCTGCTAAGACAATGCGGGCTAGTGTGTTGCCAGGGTGACGTCCCACATGCTGATTGAGGAGGGCAACTCCAGCTGTACTGCTGTTTGTTCTTAACCAACGCCGTCAATGCTAGCATCAACATTTTGACACGGGAGCCTTTCTTGATGTCTGACTGACAAGTCCTAACATTAGCTTCACACTTCTATTTGTTTGAAGCAAACCACGCCACATCTTCCAAGGCCCAAGCGTGATCGCTTGCTTGCCTTGCACGGCTCGGGCATCTTTCCATCGATACGGCAGGGACACTTTTGCATTTTCTGCAACTGATACGAGCAATAGTCAATCTTCACCATTATGTAACAAAGGTTTTCACCGCCATGCAGTGTTGCAAAGGGATGCCTTTGGGTAAAATCACCACACAACCAAATGCAAGGATGTTACTAGGGTTGGGTCCACTCAGGGTCCAGCGCCTATTCAAGCATCAGCTGTATGGGTACATATATGATGTAACGCCCCGGTATGTAAAGATGAATTAGGGTTGCGTTCCGCCAGATTTCGGCTTGCGGGTGATGTCCACACTGGGGCACTCCTCCGAAGGAGTGTGCCAGTGTGATCTTTGCCTGACCCTTAGCAGGGTCAGGGACCTGTGCCGAGGGTCCAGCTCCTACTTTTTCTGGAGCAGGGCCCTCGAGCGTGTTCGGCTGCTGCAGGGGAGATCCTGCACCTTCGGGACCGGGATCACTGGCTGGTGAACCAGCCCCCTGCAGCAGGCCCTCCTGGGGTGGGAGGGGTGGGAGGTGCTCCTGCGGAGGGAGCATCTCCGGTGGGAGCCCGAGCTCCTGAGGAGCTCCCCCCAGCCTCCGAGCAGGGAGGAGCAGCAGAGGCTGCTGAAGCCAAGGAGGCTGGTGAGGAGAGAGTGAAGGAGAAGAAGAAGAAAAAGAAAAAGGGGGAGAAGAAGGAGAAGGATAGGAAGAGGAAAAGGTCTAGGTCATCGAGAGGGGGTCGTGAGGAGAGCGTGGAGGTCACCAAGAGTCCGGGGGGAAAGGAGTTGAAGAAAGGAGGGAAGAGTTCCCTCGGCACCAGGTCGGAGGTTCAGTTGGTGTCAAGGAAGAACCCCCTGTGAGTGAAGAGGAGAAGGAGCATCCCAGGGAAACAAGGCACAGGACCGCCACCTCTCCTGTGTCGTCAAGCAAGGAGGAGAGAGCGAGAAGGCAGAGGAGCACTTCGAGTGAGGGGCGCATTAAACGGCTAATTGCGAAAAGCAAGGAAGCCACTGAGGAGCGGGCTGAAGGTGAAGAGAAGAGGGAAGAAGCCTCGGACAGTGAAGAGAAGGGGGACGTCGGGAGGAGGGACATCAGCAGGTCCCGTTTGAGGAGGCACCCGGGTGGTTTCATTGAGGATTTGCTCATCCAGCCCCGAGAGGAATACAGAGGAGAAGATAGGTGGGGAAAGAACAAGGGCAGAAAGAAGAGGGAACAGCAGAGGAGGTTCAAGGAGCATGCCTCCAAAGGTGGGCGGAAGAAGAGGTGCTGCTAAAGCTAAGGCAGCAGCAAAAGGAAGAGCAAAAGCCCTTGCCCGGCTGCCGGTAGCTCTTCCTAGGGTCCGAAGGAGGCCAGCAGGGGAGGAAGAGAGAGAGGACCCTGCCGTGTTGAGGAGGCCGGCGGGAAGAGAGGTGCTTTGGACTGGAGAGAGGTTTGAGCGAGGTGAGATTGTGAACGTTGTGGAGTTGCCGAGACACCTGGTTAGGCCAGGCCAGAGCTTGATCGTGGTAGAAGGCAACTACTGGGAAGCCCCCGTCACGCTATGTGGAACAGTGGAGAAAGTCGAAGAGGATGGAGCAGGGGTCGTCGTGGAGGTTCGGCTTTCAGGGACGGAGAACGAGGACCTCCTGAAGTGGTCAACAGCGTTGCAGGTTGCACATGTGCGGAGACGGTTGCGTGGCAGGTCTATGCGAGGACGGGTTGGTCCACGTGAAGAAAGTCAGCCAGGAGCAGGGGAGGCGTGGCTGGACAACCTGGTGGGCCATGTGCCGTTTCAAGTGGACGACATGGCGGCCTTGAGAGAGAAGGCCAACGAGCTGGACAAGGAGGATTTAACAGTCGGAGGAAAGAGCAGGAGGCCAAAGGAGAAGCAAAAAGAAGGTGTGGAAAAGAAGAGGCCGAGAAGCGAGTCGAGTTCTTCAACCAGATCATCCAGCCGGAGGAGAAAGAAGAAGAGAAAAAAGAAGAAGAAGGCAAAGAGGGGAGCAAAGGTCGAAGCAACGAAGGAGCTGAGCGCCGTGTTCGGAAACACAGGGATGGACCCGGACGTCAAAGTAAGGAGACAGGTGGTGAGAAAGGTGAAGAAAAGCCTGAAGCTGTTGCAGAGGCAGATGGACTCCTCAGGAGAGTTGGAGTGAGAGGCCCCGGAGTTTTAGCGGCGGCCTCCATCAACGAGATGAAGAAGCCCTTGGTCGCGGCTTCTGGGCAGCTGTGGGGTCAGAGCAGAGACCTGGCGCCGGTGGGAGTGCATTACTTCAGGACAGTCCTTCAGCTGAAGCTCCATGGCGCGATGGCGCGAGAGGCGTTCACGCTAACCTATGGGGCGGACCTCCTAGCGCAAGGGAGGGTCGTCGAGGCGATCGACTTGTTGCTGCAGCGCCTGAAATCGCTGGAGCAGGTCTCTCAGGGGATGCCGTGGCAGACTGCTCAGAAGATGGAGCTGTGCCCTTTGGAAACAGCTCAGGTAGCAACCCGGGCGGAGGCAGCAATCGCGATAAAGGAAGCTCGCGGAGAAGGTGCCTGGCAGAACCCTGAAAAAGGAGCTCCTGGGAGGAGCGGCAGCCGAAGGGTGGTTGGCGAGAGCCCGGAAAAGGACGAGACGGCAAAGGCAAGAGCAAGAAAGGCAAAGAGGAGAAAGGATCGAAAGGAGCGGAGAAGAAGTAAGGAAGGCAGAGGTCAGACAAGAGGAGGAGGTATCAGCCTGGAGAACTCCTAGGAATGGGAGTTGGGAGGAGTGGGATGCAGCAGAGGAGGAGATCTGGGATAGCAACATCCCTCGGAGGATGACAGACCTAAAAGCAGGAGCGCAGGAGCAGAGAGTGAAGAATTGAAGTACTGCCGTGCATGATGGGAGCCAATAGTGCTCCTAGCTGGGAGGTGGCGCCTCTGCCCTCGACCCGACCTGAGGTAGGGGTACAGGACAAAGTAGAGGAGATGCTGGGGGGGCTTACCTTTTGGGGAGGGAGCAGTTCATTTGGGATCGCTGTATCGACATTTGTCTTCGAGCTGCATGACCAAGTCCATTGGCAATATCTTTCCTTTGCCATCAGCCTTTTGCTCCCTCAAGGAACTATTCCCTAACAAAAAGGATGAGGACTTGAGGATTTTGCCGAACATGATTTGGTCGTTGAATCATCTGAATGGCTCCCCAGTGTCTGTGGCTGGAGTTGGGACCCCCTGCCAACAGCGGCTTTTGGGGGGTCTCATGGACGACGCATGCTCCGCCGGCCGATGGGCGGAAAAGGCAGAGATCCTGGACTGGGGCGAGTTCTTCAGAGTCAAGGGGGTTCAAGGAGAAGAGGTCAAGGTTGCACGTGCGGTTTCTTGGGAGATGTTATCCCCCGCGTTGCCTTCGGAAGTTGGGACGGTCGCCCTTTCTGACGTATGTGATGCCGGGTGCAAACATTATGTTGAGAACTTCGAGAACTATCTTCTCCCGGTTGAGGACCAGGTATTCACGAAGGGGCCAAAGGTCATGGTTCCTCCCGGTGATTGGGAGGAGCTCGCAACAAACCTGGTTAAGCGCAAAGTTATTGAGGAGTCAGAGGTGTGTCACGTTCAGGACAAGCCCCTGTTGAATGGTCTCTTCGGGGTTTCGAAGGGCGACTGGTCAGGCGAGATTGAGGTTCACCGACTCATCATGAACTTGATACCCTTGAATCGGATTTGCAGGGGCATTGAAGGCGACATTGCTACTCTCCCTTCGTGGAGTTCTATGGGACCACTGTCGCTGGATATCGATGAAGACCTTATATCCAGCGAGGACGTGAAATGTTTCTTTTATATTTTAAAGTACCCATTTCTTGGCATAGGTTCATGGCCTTCAACCGCCCGTTGCCTAAGAGCCTCTGTGAGGGGAAATCAGGAACATGTTGCTGGCGGCGACCGTTCTTCCGATGGGTTTCAAGAATTCTGTGAGCGTTGCCCAACATGTGCATCGTTATGTTTTGCGGCAGGGCTTGATGAACTCAGGTCGCCTAAGTGGAGGGGATCAGGAATTGAGGCGTGACAGGCCCTTCCCTACGTCAGCTAGCATGTTCCGCATTTATTTGGACAATTTTGACGAGCTCACAAAGGTGAACAAGGACTTAGCCGCTACATTGAAGGGAGAGTTGACTCCCACTGTGTTGGCCCTTCAGGAGGAGTATGCAAGGTGGAACATTCCAAGGCACCCCAAGAAAGCTGTGGCCCTCCAATCTCAGGCGGAAGTACAGGGAGCAGTGGTTGATGGGGCGCGTGGAGTTGCCTATCCCAAGGTGGACAAGATCCTGAAGTATGTGGTTTTGGGGCAACGACAAGTTCAGATTGTGGGAGGGGGATTCGTGTATATGACTATGTTTCGTAGACCCCTCCTTTCGGCGTTGAACCATTTTTGGTCTTATATCAAGAGTTTCGAAGGTCTGAGAGAAGGATCCGCCCTACGTACTCCCGAGTTGGTCAAGATGGAGATCTTGAGGTTTGTGGGTTTGGTTCCCCTGGCACATTTTGATTTCCGCACAGAGATCCAGGGGATGGTTACAGCAAGTGACGCTTCATCTACGGGGGGAGGCGTAGCCCGGAGCAAGGGCTTGAGCCCATGGGGTGTTATTGCCTCCCAAATGCCACAACGAGGTGACATTTCAGAACCTTTTGATTTTTGCGGGGCGGTGACCATTGGGCTCTTCGATGGCATTGGTGCACTTCGAGTGGCGGCGGAGGCATCGCAGCTGCCGTTGCTGGGGCACATCGCCGTTGAGAAGAATGCAGAGGCCAGGAGGGTTACAGAGTCCAGGTACCCTGCCTCCCTTATGTGGGAGGATGTTACCACTGTGGATGCCGAGGTGGTGAAGGGTTGGGCCACCCATTTTTCGCAAGCAAGTTTGATCGTCGTTGGAGCTGGGCCCCCGTGCCAAGGTGTCAGTGGGCTCAACGCTGACCGTAAAGGGGCCCTTAAGGAACAACTGAAATTTCACAGGTTACAGGCTAGCATCCCTTCGCAGTGTTGGAGGTGGGTGACTGTAGCCGGTTGGGGTTGGAGAGGAGACCCCGAGCACATCAACTGCCTGGAACTCCGGGCCATTTTAACAAGTGTCAGGTGGTGGATTGAAAAGCGCAAGGTGGCTAGAGCTAAATTCATTCACTTGACGGACAGTGTAGTATGCATGCATTCCCTTGCCCGAGGGCGTACCAGCAGTCGCAAACTTCGCAGAACTTTGACCCGAATTAATTGTCTTCTTTTGGCCTCCCGTTGTTTTCCAGTGTGGGCTTATGTCCACACATCTCAGAACCCGGCCGACCGGCCGAGTCGGCGTAGTGTCCGGAAGAAATGGGTAAAATGAGCCCTAAATGTGTGGAGGGGAGAACCAAAGAAGACAGGGTCAGAATTCGCAAGCGACTCGGGAGTTTGAAGCAAATCACAGTGCAGCCTGCTACTCGTGTTCGGTATGACCGAGCTTTGAAAGGTTTCTTTTCGTTCCTGAAATTTAATGGGAGGGTTCTGTCGACTGATCAGTCCTTCTTGGATGAGCTGGTCGGGGAATACTTGGAGCATTTGCGGGCAAATGGTGAAGGAAGGGCCCTGGCGTCTGATACGATAGCCGCAATACAAGATGCGCAGCCCCAGGTGTGGGGCAAGCTCCAGCAAAGCTGGAGACTTATGAAAACCTGGTCTTCCAATGAGATGCCCAATCGTGCGCCTCCACTTTCTGAAGATATCCTTCACGCGCTAGTTGGCCTGGCGCTTTTTCGGAAGGATCCGCTTTTTGCCCTTTCACTCCTTGTGGGATTCTACTCCATGTTGCGCACTGGGGATTTTGGGTATCATGAAATCCCATGTTTCTCCGGGAGCTGGATTTACTCCGGTCGTCATTTCGCTTGGTCTTACCAAAGCCGGCAAGAGGCAAGGTGCCGCCGAAAGTGTCACCGTGTCGGTCGCCGATGTAGTTCGTCGACTTTCGCAATGGAAGGAGTCCGCAGTGACTCCCGTCAACTTGTGTCCCCCGCCCCATATGTGGCGTCAGAAGTTTGCGCAATATCTTAAGGATCTGCATTTGGACGCATTTGAATTTCGTCCATACAGTTTAAGGCGCGGTGGGGCAACCTTTTGGTTTCGTAAACATGGATCTTTGGATAAGATCCTTGTTCAAGGTCGTTGGCAGGCGCAGAAGACCGCCCGTATTTACCCCAATGAGGGGTTGGCCATTCAGGCTGAAATGAAGACACCCAACCATCCGGATGTGGGGGTGTTCCGAACTCAGTATTTGAAAGCGGTCAAAGCACCGTTGCCGAAATTTGAGCATGCCAAAGGCAGGACAGGGGGACATGGAAAGAAAGTCAAAAGTGAGGTCGAGGGGTAATCCGACCCTTTTTTCAAAACCGCCTGAGGGAAGACGGCGGTTGAAGTTTTAAGGAGTCGAGGGGTAATCCGACTCGAAAGACTTAACCCCCTTTTAGTTTCTGGGCTTGCCCAGACAAAGTGGGGTGGTCTTTAATCAAGGCTGGGGCTGGGGCTTACCTGGGCTTGGCCAGGAAGACCCCAGGGTCTTGAAAACCTACTGGGAAGAGGCGTTTGGTGTTTAATACAAGTTTCAAGTTTCAATTTTTCAGACAAATCTGGTCTTGCAGCGCGGAAAAGAGCAAGCCAGAATGAATCTTTGATGTAACGCCCCGGTATGTAAAGATGAATTAGGGTTGCGTTCCGCCAGATTTCGGCTTGCGGGCCACACCCTCCCGCCCAGTGGGAAAGAAAGTCAAAAGTGAGGTCGAGGGGTAATCCCCCTTTTAGTTTCTGGGCTTGGCCAGACAAAGTGGGGTGGTCTTTAATCAAGGCTGGGGCTGGGGCTTACCTGGGCTTGGCCAGGAAGACCCCGGGGTCTTGAAAACCTACTGGGAAGAGGTGTTTGGTGTTCAATACAAGTTTCAAGTTTCAATTTTTCAGACAAATCTGGTCTTGCAGCGCGGAAAAGAGCCAGCCAGAATGAATCTTTATATATATATATATATGTATATATATATATATACACATACGCGCGCGCGTGTAACATGCAGGTACATTCTGCATGGGTCCATGCTCACCACGCCTTTCCTGGCCACCATTCGCATATCCAAGGAGAGCAACTCGCAGTTGATCTTTGCTTCAAGCTACTTTCGGAGTGATTTTCCATGCAGTTTCTTTGCTTGGGGCCAGCTACGCTTCAACTGGGTTCATCGCAGGCCGCCAAGGCGCAGGTTGCGCTGCTGGAGCAGCACCTGGCGGAGGCAAGGAGGGACCTGCAGCAGGCGCAAGCGCAGGCGCAGGCGCAAGCGCAGGCGCAGGCGCAAGCGCAGCAGGCGCAGCAGGCGGCAACTACCAACGCTTCTGGGCTGAAATGGATCCCTTCTTGGTGGCACTTGCTATGTTTGCGGTTCTCGTTTGCTGTGCTAGAACAGAAACGTGTTGAAGGATTTCCGAAGGCTAAACTTTGTTTACATGCGTCCTGATATCTCCCTTGGTGGATTTACAAAAATCACTTTTGTGGCCATTGTCAGGTGAATGTCCTTGTGGTGAGGTGAAGTTTAAAGGGGACATACAAGCTTGGCTACTCCTTGTTACGATCTTTCAACTTGTCACCTTTCAGAAAATGACTATTTCCCCACTAGCCAGCAAACCAAAAAGTCGGTATCAGTTTTGGGTGGGTGCCTGTTGGTTTCTGACAAACATATTTTGCTTGCCAGGTAAAACGAGCTCACCATGATGTATTGTAGCTCCTTTACCTGGGGATCGCATATTTCAGGTTTTGGACCTTCAGGTCCATAGCGGTTGGGGTTCTGAATTCAATCAGAATTTGATAAGGACACAATATAGTCAATTTTCAACGTTAAATTAGAAATTGCTAACTATTCTATTTCAATTTGAATTTTACACAGGAGTTTCTTGCCAACAAGTGTTTCTTCACAATTCTGTTGACATTGAAATACTATTGATTCAAACAAGACTTGCATGCACAAGCAGATCAACCTATAGCAAAGGCCGCAGGCTTCAACAATACGCAAGACCAAGAGAACGAGCACGCTGGCATCGCCAGCATCCCTGGCCAATACGGAAAACACATCAAAGGTCCAACAGTTGGTTTCGTTTTTACCTTGCCCCCCCAGCAGCACTGTTTTGTAGCGGTTTTCGGCATACATTCGCATCTTCACCAATGGCCGCTCTAAAGCAAAAAAAGAGATTTGCATAGAATTCAAATCGGACTCAATAGGAGCATACGTCTTCCGAATCCTGCTGGAAATTCTATTTTAAAGTTAGATTCCTTGCCATATAGAACTTTACAACTCTTCGCTTCTATAGAAACCCAAAAATGCTTAGAACAGCAGAAAAGACTGCACATACCCCAAAGAAACAAAATAAATGACTGCAATTTACACAACTCCCACAAAAAACACGGACCCCGAAAGCCCCTTCGCAGCGTGCACTTTTGATCACTTGTGGGCACTGGTAGCCCCCCCGCTGTTCTTTTTTCCAAGCTGTTTTGTTCTTGTTGTGTTTTCTCATTTTTGTTTTTTTTTGGGGGGGAGGGGTTGTTTCCGCATGTTATCTCGAAGGACTGTTGCGTTTGCGCTCTCTGAGTCTCTGCGCCAGTCCGAGGCACAGTTCCGAGCGCCGCTGCCGAGCTGGACCTCCGCGGTGACGGTACCCACCAGCTCCTTCCAGCTGGACTCCCCGGGCACCGCGCCTCGGCCTCCAGCTCGCGTTTCGCTTGGCTCAGCTCGCGTTTCAACATCGGCTTCTGCAACGATGGGGATACCGTGGAACCATGCTGACTCGGGTACATTCCTCGGCGTTCATTGGATCTTTCTTTTTGGGGGCCCCTAGCTCTTACTAGTTTATGGGGGTTGGCTTGCAGCTCGGGAACCCCCTCCTGGCAACCTTCGGGTCTTTCAAGAGGGGGATTCGGGGGGGCTGTGTTGTGTGCCATTGGCGTTTTCGACACGCCGAACAATGTCGGCAGATTTCCACGGGAGAATCTTGAAGGATCCCTTCTTGGGTGGTTTCTTTTGTTGACAGGATCATGCGGGTTCAGATTAGCTTCGGTTTGGGTCTGAGGTGAGCGGTTCCTATGGTAGATCGTGAAGCTGGCAAATCTTCCTGTTACCTTCAACCCCCAAAAAAAGGGACATACCCTTTTAGAGCCCTAGGTGCCGGATTCCTCGAGATATCCTTTTAGATTCACACCAAACCTCGCCATGTTCAAAGGAGACTGAGGTCTTCACCGAGCGCTTCGATGAGGCCCCGGCGAGCCGGGGCCAAAAACGGGCGCTCATCGTTGGGTGCGACTACCTGCAGAAGCCGGGCACGTTGCGGGCCGGCGTGGCCGATGCGCTGCAGTGGTACAGATTCTTCCAGAAGAGGTGAGCAAAATCGGGGGCCAAGACGGGATTTCAACATGGTTGAAATGTCCAGTCAACTTCCCGTTGAAACACCATTCGAAAGGGCTCCAACCGAAGCGATACACCAGCAATTTGGATCAATGACATGAACGCCTTCAGGTGTGGCATGACTGAGCAGGACATGCAACTGTTGGTGGATGACCCCTCGCAGGCGGGGGCAACCTTTTGTCCAACTTGCCGGCAATTCCAGGGTTTGGTTCAACATGAATCCTCTTTTGGGGTTCGCCAGTGTTTTTTCTCCCCGAGGAGGTGTCGCTGTCTCCTACGCGAGACAACATGCTGAGGGGCCTGCAGTGGTTGGTGGCGCAGGCCACGCCGGGGCATCAGCTCTTCTTCGTGTTCTGCGGCCTCGGTGCTCAGGCGCGAGGCTTGAAAGGGGAAGCCGAGCCACGGAGCCATGCTTGGGATTTCGTTTGAAGAAAGCCAAGGAACGTGTGGCATAGGTCTCACTATTGGGGATGGCTCCGGGTCTCTGTTTTGACTGGGAGGGCAACAATGGACCTAAAAAACAGTTGGCACTTTGTTTGGGCTCAATCCTATTTGTTGGCCCCAAATCTTTTGACAAGCCTAAGCCCTGTTGCGCACACCTCAAGCAATTCCGTGAGTCCGTACAGAAGTTGATTGAATATTGGCAATCCCACAAGAGTTCGAGACATTGGGTCGCATGAAGCGGAGAAAAGGTCTGCACAGGTTGACAAGAATGGGATCAGCCCTAAGGATGTCCATGGCCTTTGCGATGTGGAACCAGAACCTTCGGGAATGTTCATTATGACGCATGTGCTCCTAAGGGCGGATGTGTCCCCTGGTCTGCCATTCTACTTGCTTCGCCGAGTTGTGGTAGAGGCCCACTCGCGTTCTCCAAAAAAGACTCCCCGACCCCGAGAGGTCATCCCACGCCGGCCCCGCTCCCAGGTGCCCGTCTCAGAGGGCCCGGACAAGCGGCTCTGCGAGTGCGCCTTGGTGCCCACCGACGCCACGGGCGACAGCCCGCGCTTGGTGCGGGATGTTGAGATACACCAGGCTGGCAAGCCGAAAGCAAGCCGAAGGCCGAAAGCTGAGCGAGCGGACTGCCTTTGATACAGGTTGGCGAAAACCGGAAGGGGCGTGTTCTGCAGTGCCGGCGAAGGGCAATGTTCAAAGGTCTATCATTCCTTTACCACAAAGGAGCATGCCCGTACTCGGAGGTGTCCTCATTTCGACGGCAATCTGGGGTGCCCGTTTGACATCAGATGTCTCAATTGTCAGCGTCTTTCAATCTTACGTTCTCCCTCGGGAGGCAGCACCCTGGACCGTGTGACAAGTCACTTTCACAGGGTCGTGCTGCTGGCTAAAACCGGCCGCGCAAATCGGCAAGGAAGTTTGCACCATGTCATTGCTACATTCCAGGAAAAAGATGAGGCACCGAACTAGATGCCCCCCCCCTCAAAAAAAAAGAGAGGGACCCAAACAGGCCGTATAGATGAATCTCCTTTGCAAGGACCGTATGGGACCCGAACAAAGAACCGGTCTCTTTCGTTTCAACTCCCGTTGCATGCCTGCCAGGCGCTGGCGACCCTGGGCTACGGAGTGCAGGCGAGGGATGGGCTGCCTGTGGGACCAGGAAGTGTTATTTTGTGTGGCTTTCTTTGGTGCCCCCTGTGGTTTCGATTGGTTTCTGGCGGTTTCCTGTGATGTCATGCGTGCTGGTGGGCTCCTTGCCAGGGAACTGTCATCTCTTTTGCCACGTGTGCATACTATCTAGGCTCAATGAACTTCTGTGTTTGACAGCACTCGTCCGACTTCCGTGCAAAGCGCACTCGTCAATCAAGCGAACTTGACGGCAAATGATTTCTGCAGCATGTGGGCTAACCATGTGATGTTAATGTGGCCGTTGAACTGTACATGGCCACGAATATTAATGAGGCAAAAGACGAACGGGCGGATAGACGGGTGCAACAGACAGAGATGCGACGTCGCCTGCCACAAGACCTAACCAAACCAAACTGTCAGCCCAAAACATACAGTGGCCAACCAAAAGAGCCAAGCACGTTTTTAACCGCCAACTACTCCCACCTCCGCACACACACACACACAGGGCAAAGGGCAGGCAGGCAAAGGGCAGGCAGGCAGAGGGCAGGCAGGCAGAGGGCAGGGCAGGGCAGGGCAGGGCGGGCAGGGCAGGCAGCATGGAAGCAAATCAAGCAAGCAAGCAAACAAACAAGAAAGCAATCAACCAAGCAAGAAAGGGGGCCAAGCCAATCCAAGCAAGCAAGCAAGCAAGCAAGCGAGCGAGCGAGCGAGCGAGCCAGCCAGCGAGCCAGCGAGCCAGCAAGCGAGCCAGCAAGCAAGCAAGCACACCAAGCAAAACTCAAGCAAGCAAACCCACGCGCACACCACTGCTAAGTTAGGCTGTAAGAGCGGTTCCAATAATTTGTAATGTGCACATCGCCGAATCGCTTGTATGTCTGTCCGAAGTTGCTCAGCTTCCCATGTGCCACAGCCCCGGCCTCGCGCGAGGTGACCCTCATCATCGACAGCTGCCATGCCGGGCGGCCCCTGGATCGCAGCATGGACCACTGCTTTGAGCACGTGAGCCGTGGCCGTGTGGACTACGAGAAGCTGCGTCACCACCCCGTGCTGCCGCGGTTTCTGGACACTGCGCCGAGTTGAGTAGGGAGTTCCAAGCTAAAGAAGCTTTTGATATCTATTTCCATATCTCCATAGATCAACAGAACGTCAAGTCATTCAATATTTGAACCGGTTTTTGTGGGGGGTAAGTCAGGAGATGGCCCACTGGCCCCTGCAGCCGCCAGCGCCCTCCGCCCCCAGCCGCCTGAAATGCCAGGCGGTGCTGTGGGCGGCCTGTGACCCGGTGAGATGGGACCGGTTTGCACTTCCTGCTTTGCCAGTGGAAGTGAACAAGAGGGTTTTCGAGGACAACCATGCTGTTGAGAGACGCTCAATTTTTTGGAATGGATGAAGTCGTTTTGTGTTGGCTTTGGTTGTCTGAACTTCGCCTTGAGGCGAAAATCCGCAGTTCTGCGTGGAGCTGCCTATCGACGAGCGACCCAGGGGAGTGTTCTCTTACATCTTCATCAGCTCTCTGTTGAAGGTGGGCGCTTGTTGGTTCCCTTCAGGATGATGATGATAATGATGATGATGATGATGATGGTGGTGGTGGTAGTGGTGCTGCTGCTTCAGGTTCGTCCTCGCTCCAAAAGGTGATCTCACCTTTGTGTTTCTAGGCTAGTAACGCATAATGTTCTCTTCAAATGATGAGAGGTCGGTTTCCCTTTGGTTCCCTACAAAATGTCCACACACACAACACACACACACACAACACACACACACAAAACACACACACAACACACACACAACACACACACAACACACACACACACATACACAACACACACACACACACGCACAACACACACACACACACAACACGCACACACACACACACACAACACACACACACACACAACACGCACACACACACAACACACACACACACGCAATAGATACACAACAAACACACACACACACACCGCACACAACACACACACATAATATAATACACCACATACATACAACACACACACAACACACACACAGACACAACACACAGAGACTACACAAACACACACAACAAATACTGTACACAACACACAAAACACATACACACTGACACACTCACACACTCACACGCTCGCACACTCGCACCCTCACACACTCACACACACACACACACACACTCACACACTCTCACACACTCTTACACACACACACTCACACACACACACCCACTCACACACACACAGTCACACACACACACACACTCACACACACAAACACAAACACAAACACAAACACAACCACAACCACCACGACAACCACAACCGCAAACACACACAAACACAAACACAAACACAAACACAAGCACAAGCACAAACACAAACACAAACACAAACACAAACACAAACACCAACACCAACACCAACACCAACACCAACCCGCAAACGCAAACGCAAACGCAAACGCAGACGCAGACGCAGACGCAGACGCAGACGCAGACGCAGACGCAGACGCAGACGCAGACGCAGACGCAGACGCAGACGCAGACGCAGACGCAGACGCAGACGCAGACGCAGACGCAGACGCAGACGCAGACGCAGACGCAGAGGCAGAGGCAGAGGCAGAGGCAGACGCAGACGCAGACGCAGACGCAAACGCACACGCACACGCAGACGCAGACGCAGACGCAGACGCAAACGCAAACGCAGACGCAAACGCAAACGCAAACGCAAACGCAAACACAAACACAAAAACACACACACACAGACACAGACACAGACACAGACACCACACACACACACAGACACCACACACCACACACCACACACCACACACCACACACCACACACCACACACCACACACCACACACCACACACCACACACCACACACCACACACCACACACCACACACCACACACCACACATTACACAACACACAACACACAACACACACCACACGCCACACACCACACAACACACAACACAGAACACAGAACACAGAACACAGAACACAGAACACACAACACACAACACACAACACGCAACACAACACACAACACACAACACACAACACACAACACACAATACACAGTACACAACACACAACACACAACACACACTCATGTTCCATGGTCCAAAGACTTGCTTACTCCCGGTTGGTAGCGGGGGACCACGACCCGCAGATTCGGTTTGTTGACCGCTAGCAAGTCGGCGGTGTCTTCCGACCGCGGCATTTCTCCCAGGTCGGGGTCCAGGCCTCCTGCGCTCAGCTCCTCTACGAGGCTAAGGACCTCACCTCGCAGCTCAAGGGCAGGCGCCAACCGGTTTCAGGGGCGAGCCTGACATGGTTCCAGCAGCTAAGCATGTTTCGTGTTTAGACACACGTTGCGTGTTTACGTTTGCAGCAAAACAGGCTCCAAAATCCCTACAAAAAGTGGTGTGCTTGCAAACCTTGCTCTGGATTGATCGGCACTAATCATAGCAAGCAAACTGCAAACAACCTCAGTCCCTCTGCAGATTGGGGCCAAACGCGCGACCGCGCAGATGAGACATGCTCCGGTAGAAAAAAGGCAGTATGGACGAAATGCTTCCCGCTTGTGGGCAGCAGTCAAACATCCAAATGGATTTGCCAGATGCGGTCGATGTTACCTTTGCAGGTGGAGGCTGCAGCAAGATTTGCACTTCGAGCACTGCCAAGCGACCTCAGACCAGCAGCCCTTCCTGCGCTTTTGAGAGGTGTTTCTCCAAACGTCCTGTCAAACGAAACCGAAGCTCCTCCAAAAGCAGGGGAGCTTCGTATCAGACCGTCAATGAGCCTCTCGCAGATCAAATGGTGCTGGCCTTGCGCACTGATGGGGGGAGGATTGCGTTCGCTGTGAGACCTGGTCGGAAGTTGAGGTATTCTTTCAAATGGCGATGTTGGGCTTCCTGAATTGCTTGTTTACCTGAAACAGGTTGCCGGGACCACTTGTCACATTCGACTTCTGTTCATGTCGCTCATGTCCTGGTGCCGCTGAGAACGACATGCTTGAATCCTGATTCTACCCAACTTCACCTGTTTCAACTTGCTTTGGTGAATAACTTGGGGCCCATAGGACCGTGGGTGTTGCTTTGAGGGGACGTGTCGCCCTGGCTCTTATGCTCGCGACTCTTGGGAGTTCCCATCAGGCTGATCGCGTTGCACCTTGGAGCGATGTTGCGCACCAATCGCAGTGAACGTGAAAGAGTCTTTTTTCACACTTTCGTCCACAAGATTGGTCTCGACTGCAAGGGCTTGATTCTTCCGCGACAGTTTATTGTGTAGACTTTGCAAAGCAAGGTGCTCCTTCACACACTCATGTGTTGCCCCTTGTTGCTTATGCTTTTGACGGGTATTTTATCTTGAATGTTCGAAGCAAGCGTTATGCTTTCTTCATGTCTTGTGCAGTCATCAAAGGACTCCAGCGCAACTTCAGGAAAGCTCTGCTTCCAGAAGCCCTTGTCTTCCCCCAAAGCCCGGTTCTGTTGACTGTGCCTTGACACCCATTGTTCGCCTTTTGTTGGCGCGAATGGTGCCCTTCGCTTCTTGGATTCAAGGCACATGCCGCCCAAGAGCCGTGACGCCTTGCTGCCTGTGCTGCGGCGCTGGGGCAAAGGCCTGAGAACTGCCAAATTTCTTCAGGCACAGCGGGCAATCAACATCACAGGTTGCTTGACTCAGAGAGGGACAATAAAAACATACATAAATGACTAAATAAACCATAAATACATATATATATATATATAATGTATGCAACTTATTATATACACATATCCCTTGTTTCCAGCGGAGGCGCTGTCTCGAGCGTCCACCCGCTACAAGGGCATACTTTTGTAAGTGGTCTCACTTTGCTGTGGGCTGTGGGCGCTCAACGTGTGAGTGATCGCGGGAAGAGCCTTGGGGTACTGTGCGTCGAGGATGTTGCGCCGTCGTGCCCTGCCTGCCACTTCTGACTTTGCCCAACTGGTGCGGGTGGCCCCGACTAGTGTGCTGTGCTTCCCTGTCCCCATGCCACTTGGTGTCCTGAGCCTGAGGGACGCTAGGCCAGCTAGGAGGCATGGCGTTCACAGATCCTCTTGCGAAGCCGGGAGGGATGGAGCATTAGGCAGGGCTCCCATAGTGAAGCGCAGTATCTACAATTTCACTCACGCACTCACTCACGCACTATATTCTATACACATGATGCTAGAACCATGCATACACAAAAGGTATGCTGACGTATAACATGTATTTGCGTATTGTGCGTGCATTACATTACCCGTATGTATGAGCATGTGTCCATCAGCATTGCTTTTTTTGCGAAGAGCTGGCCTGCCCGCTGTTCCTTTCTTTGGGAGCGCATTGTAGCTGCATGTTCCACTTTCACTTTGAAGCTTGTTCCCTGGTTTCAAGCTTCAGGAACGGGAGAAATGCCCACTTGTTTTTCTTTCCAGGGGTTGCTCCAGCACACATACTTTTCTGGGTTCCACGCATCTATGATTTGGCGTCTATCTAGCACACAAACACAGACCTCGCCAAACAATTCCAAACTCAAACATCATGATCTAAGGACAGATTTGTCACAGCATCTCAGAATTTGCAACTGACCGGGGCACAACCCCCGCAATAGATTTCACGTCAACGCTTGCATTTGCACACATTTGAGGAGCCCACATAGCTAAGCTTTCCACGCGAACTTGAGTTCCACTGAATCGCATCAGACATGTTGGGGGGTTCCCCCACAACTTGAAGCCCGGGCCATCGGGACTCACACCCCGACACCTAAAAACAGCCCTCAGGTGCGGAGAGACTGCAGGAGGCCTCGAGAAGGAGAGACGTGAAGGGTGAGGTTTCGGAGGAACAGCTGGACTCGCATATGGCACGGTCGATATGGTCGGGTAGCCAGTCATCACGAGTCATCACCCTTAGTAATTCATAGATGGCTCGTGAACGGAGTGGAGCTCAGATCTTTTCTTCTCATGGCTCGGCTTTGCTCTGCATGGCCTGGAGCCACGCTCACCCCCGGCAAATAAGAATTCCATGCTGTCAGAGGGGGTGCTTCTCAGACAGCAACTGCCCGCTCGAGCCATTGTTTCGAGCACTGCCGGAAACACATTGGCGCCTTAGCATTTGCCTCTTGAGCTGGTGTTTCGAGTGCCTGCCACCGGCTTCCAATGGCGTATCCTCAATGATGTGCTGACCACGTTGGTGTCAAATCACAACACGTCCACAGTTCCCTGATGTGCTTGTGACCTAGCTGACCAATGACAGCATATCAGATGGGCCAAACCATCCACTTCGAACCCAAGGGCCGTTGTTGCTGATGGCCACGGTGACCTCTTCGAGCTGGCTTCTCTCGACTTGCCTCCAGCTTGGGGTCAAATGGGTATAGACCCTTTTGTACCAGGTGTTGATAGGGCATGACTTTTCTCAAAGGGATCTGCTGGGAAACACCCTGAGCCGTATGAGCGCACTCGCCTGCCAGGTGCTTGCACTGAGGGGCTTCCTGGGGGATGGGCCCAATGGTGACAGGCAGGGAGAGGCTGCGTGATCGGGTGACAAGCACGGCAACCTGACAGGCAATAGGCATCACATCGTCTCAACAGTAGCTTTGTACAAATTGGTGTTACGTCTTTCTTTAGTCTTCCTTTAGTTTGCGTTTTTTGCTTCAATTTGACATGAAGCCAATTTGAAAGACTCGGTCAGAGACCGGGCTAAACCGACTGCGCAGTTCCAGAGGACCCGAAAGAACCCTGGGCGACCAATGCGTTGACAGAACTGGAGAAAGCCACAAGCATGGGCTGACTTCCAACTACTTGTCCAAAAAGCAAGCTTACATCGGTGCTTTCTTGAGCTACAAGCCCTGGATATCAAGACCCGTTTATAGAGGATCAGTAGAGCAAGGACAGATTCCAAGCCATGCCCGGCTCCTTCGCCACCAGAATTAGGATTGGCAACTATGAAAGCAGCACAACGCTCCTCTGTTTTAGAGAAAGCATACTCACAGCATGAATTGCACTATGACAACAACAATCGTTTAGCCTTAGATGACATCACAAAGCTAGTTGTTCAACTAAAGACATTGTTGAAACCAGCTTATCCGTGTGACCAGAGTTGTTGCGCAGAAAGTAGATGGAATTACACGGTGTTTTGCTGGAATCATGATGCTCTTGCACATGTTCTGCTCGAGCATGTGCTATCAAAGGAGAGAAACAGGACCGTCCAGCATGTTCAGACAAGGATCTAGGCATGTTAGCGACCTCACCACGGGGGGTGCCACTTGAACTGAACTTTTCCTGGGTCCCTTTCTTCAGGTTAATGATGAATTGTATTGCAGACGGATGGCGCCATGGCTTGAGGTCGCAACCTTCTGTGAGCTTGGAAACACATCCCGCTTTCGGGCAGTTTGGGCCATGTGGGGGTTGTCAAAAAGGTGCCGATCTCCGCCATTTGGACCTCGGTGCCGATCTCCGCCGATTCACCCCAGTCCCTCTAGGCCCTCGAGCCTGCGGCGGCGCTGCGCTGGGGCGCTGCACGTTTGGGGCCCTGCAGGAGAGCGGCCGCTGGGAGCGGTCACTGGACCGATCCGTACGCAACACGAGCTTCACTATTTGGGATTTAGGCCCTTTTCTTGGGGGGGTTCCGTTGTTTCCAGTTTGATGGTGGTAATTTGGGCAGATGAGGTCAGGTTCCCAAAGCCGGATCCATAAACGGATTTTGGATTATTTAAGGGAACCCACACAGCACTGTCAAGATGAGGCTGAACATTCAGATGCAAGTCGAACAGGACATGATCGGTTCTCGTTGGTGACTTTGTACAGGTTCGTTGGCGTGTTCGGATGATGGCTGTGGAAAATGCTTCTGAGTTGAGAGAAGCTGCGAGAAAAGCATGCCAGGAGTTGGCAAGACCGATGTCGTCTCGGGCTACCTGAAAGACCTGGGCTTCCGGCGGGCTGGCGTTTTCGCTTTTGGATGGGTAAGGCTGTAAGGCAAAGCTCCGCGCAAGGGACAGCCAAGTGGACTCGGCTGCATCTCAGTGATTTGGGTCACTGCCAGAGCGCATTCTGTTGGATTTAAGGTAGACGTGACATGAGCAATTGTCAGCATGTTGTGTCATCTACGGACAATCCATGCACATGCGATGGATGAGAAGGTGCCAGAGCACAGACTTATTGAGAGCCGCTCCACACATTTGGGAAAGCCCCTTGTGAGCATGTGTTTCTGCGCTTGCCCTAGCACCTGCTCCTGCTGCAGGTATGTTTGGCTGAACTGCTATTGCGCGGAACCCTACGACTTGGTGCAATTGCAGGGGGCTGTGGGCGAAGACGTTCAGATGCTGGCTGGCTAGCAACTGGAGGTGACTGGAAATGCATGCTCTTTCAAACTAGCCTTGGATTGTTTTGATATCGGTGGACGGATTTGTTTATACCTCGTGGGTCCATTCCACATCTTGACGTACATACTGGCGGAAGGGTGAGCATGGGTAGGTCCTGCCACGAGGCATCCTCTCGCAGGCGGACCTGCATAGGAAGCTGGCGGTGGCCGTGCCATACACCCAGGATCGATCGCTCCCAAACTGAGGCACACCTTATTTTCAAGCGTCCCAAAATTCCACTGCAGGCTTGTAAAGACTTGTGCATACCCCGAGATCATCTAGCGGATCAAAAGGGACTCCAAGCCATGTCTTCATGGTAGCGGAGCTCTCGGGCACGATCAGGGGCAAGTCCGCGGCCAAGGACAAGCTCTACAGGAGGAGGATCGGGGTTCCCCGAGAGCGGCCAGCTGGGCCACGGAGGGGAGCGGCCGAGTCGAGGTCGGAGGACGCTCGGC